ATTTCAGCATTTTCCATGTGGATGCCGTTAAGGTAGCCTGGAATTTGGAGATAAGCCCAGGATTAGTCCTGCTTTAAAGTCATCAGGAAGCCTTCTTATAGGCCTCAAGTTAAGTTGTTAAATGCATTTCTGAGAGCTTACTGGGGGGAAAAAAACACATTCACTAACTTTGGTAAGCTTCAGATAGCACAAGCAGCGTGTTGTTGTTAAAAACTTACCTGCAGGCCTGGACCCTCGTGTTTTATGAAAACTAGGATTATGGTCTGAGGCTCAAGCTGCATTCTGTTTACCAAACTTGCTTCAGGAGGAATATCTAAACTGAGAACTGCCAGATGAGATAGTCACTATATTTTTGAAGAAGCAGATTGATAATTGGATCAGCCCTATTCAAGCAGATTTGTAAAACTCTAGTACGTATAATTACTCTCTGAAGTATTTTTGCTTTTCTTTCTTTATTGCTATAAAACCAACTACTACAGAATCTTCCAATTACCATAAACCTTCCACTTTTTTGGAATATGAATTGCAGGTGATTCAGTAACATGGCTAAGATGTTGACTTTTCTTTTTGGCCTGGTAGCTATTTAATGACTGGGGACATAAAATTTGAAGCAGTAATATTAAGTCTTGTTAAAATTTTATTGCCTTTGGCCAAAGGACATTGCAAAACATCAAGAAAAGCAAGAGTTAGAAAAGCAAGAGTTAGTTCATTTCTGAAAATGAAGTCTAACATGTCAGAACTAATTTCCTAAGCCAAACCAAAACTATCCCAATATTTTCCTCTACATTAAAATGTGGTTAGCTTACTTAATTTTAAAGGAATTGATTTAAAAAAAGAAGAAGACTCTTCATGTAATAGACTTTTGATTTCTCAGTTGTCCAAAACAAAAGTCTAAGTATACTTTCATATATACTTGCCTAACAGTTTGACTTTAGAAGAAATAAAAAGCAGACAAAGGTGCTTTGGGGTATCTTATCTTAGTGCCAATGATCTTGAAAGGATCTTTGATAAGCACTTATGTGAAGTAATCATGTAATTTTGATAGATAGTGGTTTCTATCCACCTTTTGTTGAAACTTATTTTTTCTTCACTAAGTAAATTTACTGCTTATTGGTAAAAGTAGAGACTTTTTAAATGTTAAAACAGTCCTGGTTTCCAACATGTCATAGATTATCATAGTTTTTCATTTCCACTAACTGACTTTTGTTGCTTCTGGAGATGATAGGTGGGTGGGTAGATGGATGGACAGATGGAGAACTGGAGATTCTTGTAGACAAGATTTAATTTGAAAGAATCTACTCACACAAGAATGGGGGCTCTCTCACAGTGGTAGGTATTTGGTAAGTAGAAAAGAATAGTTGATAGCAATTGCTCCCCAATGTAATGCATGATTCACTTAATCATTCAAGGCCCCTCTCCATCATAATCTATCCATGAGAGTTATGGTTATTAAAAATGCAAAAACTATGAAGTTTTTTTTTTAATCTAAGGTAATACAGTTAATAGCAGTGCTGGGTTTCTGACTGGTGTTTGTCAAATTAATTTTTTAATTACTCCTAATTCAGAAAATAAGTGGTACTTATTAATTCCACCAACCCCGATATTTTATCAGATGAAATTTTGTAATTTGAAACAAAAATTCCAAAGGGTCTTTTCTATTCCATATAGTTTTGAAACTATGAGTTATTCTGAAAGATTATGGAAATATTTTTATCAGTTTTTTCTTTCAAAGGAACATGTTTACTCTTATACATATTGACTGGTTCAGATAAAGAAAAACAATGCTAAAAACAACATTACCTTTTGAAAATTAAAGACCATACAGTAATTTCAACTTGATACTCCATAGTGATGGGACTAGGGAGGAAGGAACAGACACTGTACTTAGTGCTGGAATCGTACACGCAGCATAAACTACATGCAGCCAGGCCGTGATCAACCATCTATTTGCTTTGAACTAAAACTTTCATTTTGAATTGATCAAGTGACACCTCAGAAAGCATGGACATTGATGTCATCAGGAAAGCAGATACCCCTGGGTCAAGGTGACCAAAGAGGTGACAATAAACTCTGGCGGCTAAACAGAAAAAGGCCAATTTCGGATAAAATGCCAGGATGGGTTTGGGGGGCTAAGATACCTCCTGTTCTCTCCGATCACCAAATTTCTGACAATTAAGTGTTCTTATGGATTCAATTCCTGCTTCTGCTCAATTGGCTCCTGGCAGTGACCAGCAGCCCACCCCAGCATTCTCTGGTTACAGTTAAGAATAGAATATCTAAATGAAAGATGTACCTAACCAAAAATATTTATTCATAAATATATCCATAGGAAAGAGAGCCAAATTAAATTATTATTCCCTGTAATCCCTATTGTTCTTCTCAACTAATACTAGCTGCATTAATGGTCCTGTGGATCACACTTACTTCCCAATAATATTATATATGGAAAATGGTCCATTTAATCTGCTATAGTATAAGAGATGACAAAGATTTGAGGTCAAGACAGATGTAGAAGTCATGATTCTCTCTCTCCTTAATGACTTTTGATCAGAAAACATCACTGAGAAATATTCAGAAGAAAAAAAGAAGTCCCAAAAGTTCCAAGTTTCTGTTTCTTACTACATCATCCCAGGTAACAAATTCTGCCATAATAAATAGTTTACCAAGACAAAGTTAATAATGTAGAAAATTCTCCAAAGATATACTGCCTTAATTCTCTTGGTGCCAGTCAACCAAAAAAGAGCACTTAACTTAGTGATGTACAGTCCTAGATCTTTCGTTTCCATTTCTTTCATTCATTTAAAAGCAAAGTTTACTTTTATTAACACACTAAATGCCTATCTCTAGCCTGAGGTAATAATCTTTTTTAAAGTAAGTAGCCTCCGATAGAATGAAGAAGAAATTAATGTTCTATCTAAATTACTTTTTAAATAATAAATTTCAGTTTTAGAGACTGACTCTTATTTTGAAGATTTACTGAATGCATATCTAACTAAGCAACACCAGGCAAAAAGCACTTTGAAGTCAAACTTAAATTAACAAGTTGGTAGTTTACTACGTCAATGGAATGATGGTAGACAATCTCATTTTTGTCATATTAACCTTAGTGGATGCTATCAGGCAAACAGTGAATCAGGCGAGTCACTGAAGACAGAAAATTTTTGTTACAGTAACCACAAAACAAACACATCATACAGTTTTACTTTTAAAGAATTATCAATACTACAAAGAAAACAACATTTCTACAGAAGAAATTGCCAAAATTTCAATTCACCCTTATGACCTCAAGAAGTGTTCTTTGATAAGGCCTAAGAACCATCATCACAATGCCTGTCTTCCTTGGACATACGATAGGTCAAGCAGAGATCTTCCAAGCAATGCAACAAAAGGTGTAAATTTGCATTGGGTGTTGATGAATATCATTAAAAAGGTTCCTCTTTTCCATGCACACCAGTCAAAAAAAAAAAAAAAAAAGACTAATTTCTCTATAGTACTAATCTAACAGGGGACAGTCTTGAACTAGTTGAAACAGATGTGGGTGAGAGACCCATGGGGAGGTTGACTGTAACAGCTTTTATCTTGATTTTGATTTTGCTCTTTTCCTCCCAGACTTGTATGGCCATTTCTAGCCCTTTTTCTGCATCCCCCGCAGGAAGGTATTTTAGACTTCTGGTGGGCTTTCAGGCCAATCAATCCCTTTTGGGTGGACTTTTTACCCATGAGGGCATGGGTATCTTTGGGTGGTTGATTTAGAAACTATATTCTTTGTCTTTTCTTTATTGCACAACTAACTAATGGAAATTTCCTTTCCATTAAAGGTCTTATATGTTTTGTCTTGATAAGACAGATAGCAGAATCCATTTAGAGTGAGCAGGTTTGGGGGTCCTAGGATGTAAATCTCCCTGCCCCGTAACACTAATAATCCCTCCTTCCAAATATGATTAATGAGGCCCTAATCCCACAAAATAGCCTATACATTCTCACCTCATACAACAGATTGTACTTTTATCACTGAGCCAAAGTATCAGAACATAAGATGGGAGAAAACTTTCTGCATCAGTCATTACCATAACCTTTAGTTGTATCCCTTAGGCCACTAATACATTATCACCTCTAAAAGGCCTTAAGCCAATTTCTAGTGAGTTTCATTGTTGACAGATATTCACGGAGATAGGACCCAGGACCCATCACCCCAGTTCTTCATAAATGTTCCAACACAACTTCAAGCTTGCAATTAAGTACAGAGACAACTGCTGAAACCCAAGAGTTTTTCTAGATATTCTCATAAAATCCCTATCCAAGCGTCAAGGCAGGTTTTCTAGGGTGCCTCTCCCCAGAAATACCAGAATTCTGAATAAACCTAGGTCTCCATCCCCAGCTCATCTTTCAAGTTTGTCTTAGAAAAAGGTAGGCAGCCGAGAATCCAAGTATCCAGCAACATAAGAATGATAAAAACATTAACCTTCTATCAGTACAGCATTACACCAGATTTTCTGAGTTATTGTTCAGAGATAAAAGAGCTAGAACTATCAAGTAAAAGTATTTGTGTAACTCATGATTTCTAGCATGTATGAAGGAACACAAGCACATACTACATATCATAATACTGGTACATGACAGTAGATACTTTCATAAATAGAAGCAGATTTTAGAGTCTACTGAAATATTTTACCATTCACATGTTCATACAACAACAATATTCTGCAACATTAGTCCCAAAGCAAAAAGCAGAAACTTATGCACTTTGCCAGCACCTATATAATTTCAACAGAAATGTATTACACATTTCTTACAGTTCCCCAAATGGCACCAATAATTTCTCACTCTGTTATCTTTTGCGCTTGGCCAACATTTTATAAAATCAAAATGTAGATAAAGTTCCATCCTTACCTTCCAGATAGACGCAGAAAGACACATCACCATCTTGGCTTTCTCTTAAAAGCTGTCATTGAGTGTGTAGGTTGTAACACAATCAGATAAAGATATAAACTGTATCTTACCTCGATCACTGAAGTCGTCGACGAGAATGATTTCAGCTATCAGACTCCCAGGGGTCCGGTTAATTATGCTGTAAATGGTACGCAGTAAGGAAGTCCAACCTTCATTATGAAATGGGATAATGATGCTCGTGTTGGGTAGTCTTTCCAGGTACATCTTGTGCTTACAGCTGCGTGACAGGGAAGAAGGCGACTATGTTAAATGCAAAATTCCAGCAAGATGGACATCTTATAGACATCTTATACCACTATTTCCTCACTCATTACCTGACAACTGTGGAACAAAACTTTGTCAAATACTTTCTCAACCAGAGCTTGTACACATCGTAGCTACTTAGTTCATTGATTATCTCCTTTCATAGTCACGTTACAGAAAAATTTACTTCTTTTGCATCAAGGTCAGAAATGCATGGTAAGATGGTGACTGAAATTGTGCTCTTGTTAAACATTTTCCCTATTTTACCTAGTAAGGACAAATGTTATATAACGACACTGTTCCTACAAGTTCTTGATTAAGGTTTTTAAGGGTTGCCTGGAAAGCTTAGAAATTTAACTTTTGTAATGATTATGCTTAGTTAATTGGTTAATTTGGATTGTGGTATGTTTCAATGACGGGCTGCACTTAAGGTTCTATGTAGAAAAAAAGTTTTAAAGAAAACAAAGCTTAATCTTAAATAATCACACGGATACAACCACATAGTAAGATTACATTAAGATCAGAACCAAAACATTATTATATTCCTAATGGAAACTATAATAAGAAATTTCATGCTGCCTTTTTCATTGCTAAACAGCCTGGGATGAGAAAAAGGAAAGCACTTTTAACTTTTGACACAGTTAAAAGCAATTTACTACATGTAATATTTTTGGCATTTTAAAACTCATTTAATTAATTTTTAAGACACAGGAGGGCAGAAACTTGCACTCAAATCTCACTTAATTCCCAGCACAGCATCCGTCATAGTTTGCCAAGTTTCCTTGAAGGTAGTAAATTCATTACAGTTTGCAAAACCTTTGCAATGCTTCAAAACTAAAATAGGTTAAAATTTCTGTCAATTATGAAATCCAGAAACTTGCCTGCATATAAATCTTAAATACTGGAAATATAGATATAGCTCTACAGCTTCTCTTATATGAAGGAACATATCATAAATACTTCATCTCTTCCCTGGACACTGGCTACTATCTAATAGAGATGAGGAAACAAATTTTACCTATGCAAAGATGCTAAAAAGACTACAGAAACAACCTAGAATATTCAAAGTATCACTTAAATAATTTTTGCCATTAATTTCAACCTTTGATTATACTATTGATATGAGCTCAATAGGATATATGAAAGGTTGAAATGGGTAAACAAAAGACTTCACCTAACAATTTAGAGCAAAATAATGTATTTTAATTAAAGTAAAAAATACAACTATCCTGGAAAATGAAATAAAGTAAATATTTTGATAAATAATCTTAATACTCAAATACAAGTGCTTTTGTATTTCCTTTATTATTTCAGAATTATTTGTAACAGTATTTATCAGTTATTTTTTTATTGAATCATTATGTGGTATACCTAAAATGAATATAAAGTCAACTATACCTTAAATTAAAAAAAAATTAGGCAAACGTTTCATTTTCTTATTTGTTCTTATCATATAGTATTCTTAATAATTAAGAATATTTTGACAAAGTTATTCAGTCAGTGAAGCAATTTCCATTCCCAACTCCAGCAAAGAGACTGAGGAAATTGATTTTAAGTATACATTTACTTTTCAACAGCTACTGTAATTTTGCTGTCTATTGCTATATCTGTACTGAGGGCCATACTTATGATCAATAATCCTTAAAATTAAGATGATTATTATTATGTCATTCAATATGCCTGTTGCTTAAGAAATAATGAGTCGTATTTCATTCATGTTTCTTATGCTCCATAGTTAAGTTAGGGATTAGTGACACTATCAGTGCAAATTTTGCATATGTAACCCACATATAATTGACCACATGTAAGTGCTACAAAAGCCAGGTGTGCTATGTCTCTGAAGATGCACAACTTGACTCTAAACTCAACCAAATAGCCTCAACTGCAGCTTTTTAACCAGAGGTGGCATTTTGCTAGAACTGATGAACACAATCACAAGTAGAAGACACCGTCATTTTGAGGTCTTTTCTTCAATCATGAAAACTTTCAAAAATACATAAATGGAATTAGTATAATTAAGTACCGTGTATTCCTGGAGAGGGCCAAACTTGTGACCTCTGACGGCCCTGTTCCCTACCAGTTTGTATAAACAACAATACAACACTAAAAATTCATTTTCATGTTTTTAAATGAAGAGTTGGTAAATTCATTGTATCACATATACTATGAAATGGGCATAAAAGTGCTAGATAAAGCAAACACGAGGGTCATTTTAGGATAACATGTTTATGTGAAATGTGAAAATATCCCTTTCATTCATTCATTCAGGCAACAACAATTTACTGGGGGCTTTGAAATAAGTCAGGATCCTAAGTAGAAATAAAACCATAGGAAAACCTTGTCCCTGGCTTTAGTAAGTTCACAAGTAATAGACGGTACATCAGAAACAAATGGCTACAGTTTTTAAGTGAAGGTGATAGCGTAGAAGTTTAATAGACAGGCCATAGGCATGTCGCCTAGAGCCTCTGATCCAGTTTGGAAAGTGTTACAGAAGTTCAAGTGAAGGGTTGTAAGTGACTTGCAAAAGATAAGTTTAAGATAGCTTCAGAACTGGGACTCTCTCCGGTGGTGTAAAGGGTTAGGGCACATGTCAAGAATTGAGGATAAAGAGAAGTTCGGTTTTGACTACATTGAGGTAGGTGTCAAATGATACCCAGTTTAAACACAGCAATAACTTACTATGATCGCTATCATATAGCTAAGTGCTATACACAGTTTAGTGCTTTCTCTCCTCTCTGAGCAAGGCAGACCAGAAGTTCTGGGGGAGTTAGTTCCACTGGAGAAGTTTCCACCAGGGAAGCAGGGGAGTTAAAGAATAAACAGTCTATGGTAGAATAACTGTGGTTTGCTCCACATTTTCTACCCGAGTTTCCCAGTGAGCTGCACCTCAGTAGACAAGAGACTCCTGCGGCTTGCACTGCATTGTATTCCCTCTTCCCTGTCTGCTTTCTGAGACCCTCTCTAGGTATTTTCTGATTTATCCTCAGACTACTGCCATCCCTTGTGCTTTCTCCTTGGGCTCTGCTTCCAGGGGAACTCAATCTCTCACATCAACATATAAATTATACTGCATTTGTCTAGAATGGTCCTTTGAACTTTGAATACAAAGTGATTGTTACATTCTTTGAGAAACATTATTGCTTTTTTTTTTTTGAGTTATGAAACTCTCCCTTTGTTACTTCTGAAAATAGTTTTGTTTTTTTTTTTTAAATTTCCACATATTTATTACTTTGCTTAACGGTTTAATAATTATTCAACTATTTAATTATATTATTTAATCATTATTTCAACTTTTTATTTTTAATCATTATTTCATTATCAGCTATTGCTAACTGGACTTGCCAGAGTACACATATAAAAATGGTCTTAACCTAATTACTAGACTATTAGTTGTAAAGTTACCTTTCTTCATTAATATATATTTTTCAATCAGACTATGTTGCAAACTCAGTCACATCTTGTGCCAATTATTTCTCAATTTTTCAAAACTAAGACTTTCTAGCTCAAACTATGTTGAAAGGATGATTTTGTCACTATCTACCTAGTAATTGTTGAGTTAATTAAAATTCTTTATGACTAATTTTCTCACATGGGACATATGGAAGCAAAAAACATACCTACTTCTTAGTAGTAATGATAATTAAAGTACATAATCCACAAAAACACTTCATGCAGTATTACATAATAGCAAAGGGTTAACAAATATTGTAATTACTATCACATTAGTTGTAGTTATTAGTTGTAGTTATTGCATTAGTTGTAGTCAAAGTCTTCTAGAAGGCTGTAGGGAAATAGAGACAGGAAATACATGATGGCAAGTGAGAGACACTTAGGATACAAAGATGAATAAATTCAGTTTCTTCCCTGGAGGATTTACAGACCAGTGGACAGATATATAAAATGATTAAATTCGAGTGAGACAAGTGACTTAATAGATGGCACGCAGACAAGGAGAGCCTGTGGGAAGAATGACTAGCTTTGTCTGAAAGAATCAGGGAGGTCTTTACAGATGAGTCTGTGTACTGAAAGCAGATCGTGTCGGACCTTGGAAGTGAGTCTAAGGTATTTGGACTAGCCTGAAGTAAGTGTGAAGTATTTCACGTGTTGTTAGCTATGAGGGAGACAGGACCACGTTTACATATTTCACTGGCAGCAGGGCAGAGTTTTGAAGACAGTAGGGACTAGAAGGAAAAAGATTAGAGATTGTAATAGTTTTGGCAAAAAATAAAGAGAGTGCTGATCTGAGTTTTAGGTTAAGGAAAGGCAGCCTCTTTGTGATAGTGTTTAATGTGATTGAATTATACTTCGTCATTCTAGTACTTAACCTGCTCCAAAAGAAAATTGATTTCACTATCAAATTCAGCCACTGGATTTGAGGTATGGTGCAGATGACTGCTTCTCATATTATTAGAAATACTGAAGCATAGCCAGGGTTTTATTAAAAATTTGCAACATCTGTATTTCAGGTTTAATTTTAAGTCAGACTGAGAATGGAAATGTATTAAGAATGAAGAAAATGTAACAACATGGAACTATTTTTAAGAAATAGTCAACAATTTATATGTTTTGGTCACAGATATATAACCAATTGACAGGGCACATTAAAACACTTGTGGCATTAAGTTTATAGGAATATGGATGAAAATTTCTATAATTATAGCATTTCATATTGCTGTATTATCTTGAAGTAAGCATTTTCACATAATTAACTTAGAGCTTAGGAATGGCTCACAGTTGATGACAACTCTTTGTTGAGTAACATTTTATCTAAATGGACAGAAAATACATTCTTCAAATTTAATAGCCACCAGAGAGACCAAAGCAGTTGAAATTCTTTAAAATGTTATCTAAGAGAAGTGACAAATCATGAAGATGTTTTAAAAACTGATAAAACCCCCAAATTAGACTGGAGTATTTTACTAAATCATTTATAACAATGAAATAAATTTCAGTAGCAAATGTCTCACTCTTCTG